TCAAATGAAACCAGCTGATGTCTTAATAATTAAAAGGGATATGCAGATAACAAACCAAAAGAGTGACCTGGATAATTTTCCTACATTGGATTTACAAAAGAGCCTTGAAGGATTTTGTGAGAAGGGACAAAGAAAAAATGAAATCAAGTTCTAGGATATTATTTGTCTTAGAGATCAAGATTGTTAAAAATAAAAGGAATATAAAGTTGGTTTAGTTGATCAAGGTTAAAATAGATGTTATCTCTGGTACCCTTAATGAACTTTTGCTGACCAGGACTGAATGATGAGACTTTAAGGATTTGTTTATAGATAAGAGGTACTGTATGGGAAGAAGAGATCATTTGTTGTATTTTAAGAGAAGGTGGTAAGTTGCTAAAATTGTTTATACTTGTGATGAAGGGGGAAATAATTTCTTTATGTCTTTTTCTTTACTATATTCTTATTTTTTCTTTTCTATTTTTTTTCTTTTCTGCACTTTCTATTTTTTTCCTTCTATTCTTTTCTTTTAGTTTGCATCTTTATCTTTTTAATTATAATGTTTAATAAAATTACTATTTAAAAAAAAGGAAGAAAAGACTACTTAACTCCAAAACATCCAAGGACCACTTAAGGCAGTTCATTCTTGGGTTGGGAAGAAGATGAAGGCAATGTCACAGGCACATGGGAGAAGAAAAATGTTGCCAGGGCATATCTGTGCCATGGTAAGTGCAAGCAGGAAAAGCTTTGTGCTTTCACAAATAGGAGAAGCAACAATCATCTTGTTTCTAAATACACAGAATAAACAGGCACCAATGATACCTACCATTAGTAAACACATTCAGCCTACCATCACCGTTCTGTGATTGATTTTGAACTACAGGCCTCATAGCTATAGCCTAACTTTTGGATTTCTTGGTTCTTTCCCATTCCAGCCTTGGGAAGTTTTGGGGATGAAGATGTGCCATTTTGATTTGTCCTAACAAAGGCTACAGGGATAAAGTAGCATTTCAATTTGCCACAGGAAGTCCATGCCCCTTTTTATCTTCCAGACAGATTGTATCAGAACCCTCCTTACCTGCTGTGCACTCTGTTGATTAAAAAGGCCAAGGGTTGAACTTCCTCTGCTTCAGGGTGTTGCCACATCATTCCTTTGTCATTTTAATGTGCAAACTTGCTTTAAGATATCAGGCATTCAAGCAAGTGCAGGCAAATGCTAAAAACTCTGGTAAGTGCCAATTCCTTTACATAATCATGTGCCTAGTCATGTGCCCTGAATATATTACAAACTTTGCGGAGCAAAATATATTGGCAGAAACTATTAAGGAAGATTTTCAAATGGTTTTAAAGCATCCAAAAGTTTATTTAAATGTTATGTTCTAGAATTATGTTTATCTTTCCATCTCTCAATTCAACCTCTACTTCTCTAGAGTGTTTGTGTCTTGAAAATTTATTTGGCAAATGAGATTCTCTGTCATGTTTCCTTTTCTCTTACTCCATTTATTCTATTTGACTACTTAGTTTTGAGTCTTTCTCCACAGCTCAATGAACATGCTGTCATCATCCTTTAGCTAGCAGAAAACTGTACGGCATAAAATTTGGTGTCCCCACTGGAAATCCCCTTTCTGCCTTTATAGCCTTTATTCAGGCTGGGGTCCTAATTTCAGGTGTGCAGGGCATCTTGAGCAAACCCATTGGTTCAGCCCTCTGACTTTGTTTGCCCTCCTCTTTCTGGACATCACCAGCTGACAAGAAACCAGTGATATGGTTGGCAAATGGTTTTGACAGATGGCTAGACCTGCAGTTATGCAATTTATCAGAACTGAATCCCGGGTTTACCTACACAAATTTATGGTGGGCTTGTTCACACTGGGTGTGAATTTTGACAGATGGCTAAATGGTGCTCTCCTTTTATCTGTGCAAGCCTGGTGAGCTTGACTGATGATCAAGCTCACGAGGCTTGCATAGATAAAAGGGGAGCACCATTTAGCCATCTGTCAAAATTCACATCTTGCACAGGTATGGAGTTTTCAAGGAGTGCTAATCCCATGCAGGTGCCACTGAGTTTGAGAGCTAAGCTCTCCTGTTTTAGCTAACAGCCGTGGTGGTGGTGGTGAATAAAGCAAAAGAGCCCTGATCCCAGTGCAGGTTCAGCATTCCTTGAAAACTTCATTTCTCTGTAAGGCTGCTGATCGTTCAGTCACTTTACATGGCAGGTACTCAGCCCATGGATCAGCTGATTTTTCCAATTGCTCTTTCAAGTCAAGTACTACCCAAAGCCCACCAGATAGCTGATCTGCTGACTCCAGGAGGTGGAGGGTACAGCTGAAAAGCCCAGATTGAAAGAGCCAGAGTCCAGAACAACCTTAAAGCCCTAGAAGAGAATATCCAGGGTCTGGAGGAGAGGGGGGTAACCTGCCACACTGAAGAAGTAAACAGGCACCAGGCCAAACCATTCCATCTGGTCAGCTGATTGTGCCACTACCAGTATGGGTAGCAAACTGCAGCAAATTGTACACATCAAGAAATTGCTGTCCATTGTTATAAATTTAAAAAGAAAACATTAACAATGGTACAACTAACCATGAAATAAGGACATCTTACACATGGACTGAGGACAAGATGAAGGCAGTATCATGGGCTGTGGCACAATAAAGATGTTGCCAGGGGGTGTTCAAATCTTATGCAAGTGGGGAGAAGTCCTCAGTAAATTAACACATGATTTTTTACAGAACACTTAACAGAAGAGAAAGCAATCTTGTGTGCATGTGGCAAATACTCAGAGTATCTTCGCGTAATATATTCAAGCCAGTTTGAAGCTGACTTTAGATCTGCCCAAAATATCTGACAATCAAATAGGCTTTTTTCTGTCCAGTGCTAGTTTATTTGAATCTGGAACAAAGCTGGGCATTTTCTGCAACACTACAGCCGAATGGAGCTTGTAAACTCACTGCTTAAAATTCCTTTTTCAAGAATCCTCCCAGCTCTAGTATTCATTGGAGTTTTAATTCTTTCTTTCCCCAAATAGAGACTTATCCCATTTTTGGAGCCTGAAGTATACTTTTATTACTACCTCCCTGCCCCCATTACAAACACAAAACATTAGGGAAGTGCTTAACTGCAAAATGGTTGTTTCACCTCAAGGATTTTAAATATAACAAATTGTGTCAAAGTCCAAGCAGCTTGCATTTTTTTTGTTTTGCAAAAATCATTCCTTGTATCCCTCCCCATAACTTAGCACATGTATTAGCCATGATTTGTTTAGGCTGATATTTTGGCTCAATAAGAGCTCTCCATCACAGTCACATTAGTGCACATTACTTCCATCTGTAAGTCAACAGAAAGATATACCAGCATAACAGTATATCTGCCTTAGCAATAAGACTGGCAGCTGGTGCTGTCCATTCAGTTTAAGTGTGGGAAAATTAAGGGCAGCAATTAGTGGATTCCCTGGCAGTGTTTCCCTTCCCACCCAGCATCATCTGCTGGCAGAACAAACCACCACTGTTTTGTCCTTAATGTGTGATGGGTAACTGCGGATGGGTGCTTAGGACTAAGGCTTTAGCCACTCAAGTTATTTGAGTGGCAGGTACCCAGCATTGTAGTTATTCATGCCCAGGATCTGTCACTTGGACTATTTCTGAAAACTATCTAGAAAGACTGCTAAACCCATGCCAAACAGTAAACAGGTCTGTGGAGCTGGAGGAAGGGGGCATTGGATCAAACATGATTGAGCTGTCTCAGTGCAATGGACAATTACCTTCCTCTTTCATTCTGTGCCCCTCCTCTGTGCCTATGATCTGTCACTCATGCTAAAAGGGAAAAGAAACAGAATCCTTGAGCCAGTTTGGTCTAGTGGTTCAGGCACCAGGCTAGAAACCAGGAGATGGTGAGTTCTAGTCACGCCTTAGGCATGAAAGCTGGCTGGGTGACTTTGGGCCAGTCACTCTCAGTCCAACTCACCTCATAGGGTTGCTGTTGTGGAGAAAATAGGAGGAGGAAGGACTATGAGGTATGTTCATCACCTTGAGTTAAAGATGGGATAAAACAATCTAAAAAAAATTTTACCCAACTTCCAATATATATCAGACGGATAATACTCAAGGGAATGTCAGTGCTGGCAGCAAATGACCATGGCCAGCAGCACAATGAAAGGTACCGTGGCATTCAGAAATAACCTTGGGTATCAAAATAATGATACCAACCCCCCAAGGAATAAAAAGAGTAACAATTATGGTAACATGAAAACACTATTTTATGGTTTAAATCGTTTTTCAAAAGAGAGGTAAAGCGCTCTTTCATAAGACTGCTGTGTGTTTAACACTCTTCCAAAAGAGTACTAAACCCATGTATATAAGAAGCCCATGTACTGTCCAAGTAGGCATTACACAAGCAGACATATCTACTTGTATCAAGTCTGACACTCCAAACCAAACATCCATGGAGGGTAAATACCCAGTAACTGGCAGGACCAGATGTGCCCTGTGACAGGTAGATGATGTGTGGCAGGTGCATGCTGACTTACTGAACTTTGCAGCATAGCCTGTCAAAGACATTTACTAATGGGATGATACCTAGGATTATACCATTCTCTGAATTCTCCCAATAAGATTGTATTTTAGTCTAGGCTTTTATTATGCAAATGTTGTGCTTTATTTAGATAATTTTATGGTGGATCCAGATATTGTCTTCTATAGTATCTGCACAGCCTTATTGGAATGACTACTTTCAGGCCTTCCCCACTGCTAATAAAAAGTGCTATCCATCCATTTCTGAGTCAGCAAAAGTCTATACCAGCCCCAATTGCTGCCTTCTTTGCCAGTCCCCATCCTGCTTCTGCTGCATCTGTTTTGCTTTATTGCTGAATGGTAGTGTCCTGTTTTTGCAACTGCAGCATGGGATAAGCAAACACACTGGTTGATTCCTCCAGCTTTGCTATCCTCCCTCTTTTGCACACCACCTGGGAAGAAAAACATCAACAATCATGATGCTACAGGAGGAATGGGGCTAATATGGCTGTGAAAGATTTATACAAACTGAAGAGAAACCCGAGTATCTGGCTACAGGATTCTGGGCTCTTCCCAACAGCTACATTAAAGATCTATTCACTAGTCCTTGAGCTGACAGAAAAGTATGCTGGCATAAATTATGCTGCCCAATTGCTTATCCCTACTGCAACTGTAAGGAGGCTGACAAAGGCTGCAGTTTTTCTTGTGGACCAAACTAAGGACAGAGATTGGGGGGTTCCCCCAGCTTTGTTTCCATTCTCATCTGCTGGCGGGAAACAGGCATCAATCACTCTCTTTAAAATGTAGAGTGAGACAGCATTGGATGAATATAAGTGGAATTCTACTTATAATAAGTAGATTGGCATGTTTTCCCTCCTGTCAAGTTGTCTGACCAACTGGTGGCTGAAATGGAGAGGAGCTTGGGGTGAAGAAACAGCCCTGATGTTCCTGCTTGACACAACTCTTCCTCCATGTCCAAGACCTCACTTTGGCTATTTCTCAACACAGATCTAGCATTCTCCTGAAAGAGTGCCAAATCCACGTCTGAGAATAGGTCAGCTGACAGGTCACAGACAAGGAGAAGGGGCAAAGAGTAAAGTGGGAGGGAGCTGTGCCAATGCTCCTGCTTAGCACAATCCCTTTTCAATGCCTACAATCTGTCAACTGGGCTATTTCTCAACACAAGTCTCGGACTCCTCAAAACTAGCCTGGCTGACAAGTCAGAAGGCACAGGAGGGTCATAGGATGAAGTAGGAGGTAACAATAACAAGCAAGCTCTATTCTCTCCTAGTGCTACAAGGGAATATCAGTGCTGGCAGCAAATGATGAGACCAAGGATTCCAGTTCTGACCTCATGGTTGGCAGCACTTGGAAATAACTGGTTCATGGCCATGGAGAATATGTAATTGTCATTGGGCTGCAATGGCTCTATCCCTCCAGTAATAAAAACAGTAAAGAGTACAGTCACATGAAATCCCTTGTTGACAGAAGCAAAAGAAAGCCTGTTATGCATCCAATAGCAACAGAATTAGCAACACAGCTGGCAGAATCCATCTCTTTCCCAGTTTAAACAAATTTTCTAAACAGCACAGAACTAGCACTTTCAAAAAAGCACTGAACACATGATTAAAATACTTGTCTAGTGTTCTTTCAAAAGCGCACTAAACCTGCATTTACAAGAATCCTGCATAAATCCTGAGAAATGCTTTGGAAAACACCAGTCAGAAGACAGTTAAGTGATTTTTTTGCAGCTCAAAACAAAATGCCATGAAAAGCAGTTGCCAGTGATGAGGTGGAATATGGCCAGTAAGAGCTAGGGAGCTACCAAATCATTGGTGAAGCGTGCCAGATTATACACACAGCAAAATTTCTATTTGGAGGAGAGGGAAAATAGTACTTTAACAATGGAACACCAAAAGATACATTTAAGATGCCTCAGCTAAACTGGGGATGAAGCAAAGGCAATATCATGAAGGCATGGCAGAAAAAACAGCTGTTTTATTTTAACAGAAAATTTTTTTTATGGCTGTCCATATTATATACAATAACCCTTGTAACTAACAATCAGTTATGGGGCATGCTCATACCATGGTTGGGGAAGTGAGGAAGAACTCCATCTACCATCTCCGACTTCTGCCTGTGCTCCTCCCCTCCATTCTAGCATCACCTGAGTTAAATCATTAAAAAAAAAGAAACAGATCAGAGTCATGGAGGGAATCACAAGCAGCACTTTTAGTTAGGGTTTTTCTCCTCTTACTTTACCCTAAACTGTAAATTATATGTAACGAATGCGTGTTTTTGTGCTATAATCAGAAGGCAGGGGGTTGAAGGATTGGTCCCATCATTCCACTGTTTTATTGTTTTAACTTTGTTCAATAAAGACCATAGAATTATAATGCTTAGAGCCCTGCTATTGTGCAAATTTAACAGATCACTGGCACAGTGGTTCAGAGTCCAGCTTTTTAGGGATACAACAGTAGAATGGCAGCAGGCAAAGCTAACCTGGTACCTGAGAAGATTATGTCCATATCAGTCTGAAATGGCAAAGAAGCATAACTTTGACAAAACTACTACTGGTTACTGGCGTTCAACAAAGGTGGGAGGGAATAGTAACAGGTTTTTTGCAGTTTGCAGCTGCCATTGAATGATGGCTACTTAAAGGGAGAAAACACAGAAAATATTTTAACATCAATGCAACTAAGAATGACTTAAGGCTATCTTATCTCACCGCTGGGGAAGAGATGAAGGCAACATCATAGGGACTGGCAGAAAAAGGATGTTGCCAGCATATGTTTGTGCCATGATTAGGTACCAGTGAGGAAAGGGCAGAAGTCTGTGAAATCACAGTGCCATCGTGTGGTAAAATATTAGATCAAACAAAATTCAAAGGAAATTTTTAACACACTGGTAGAGATTTGAGGGTCTGCCTTCAAAGCTCCCTTTAAACCTGAAAATTGGATGCATAGTATACAAATCATAACTGTAGTAAATCCCTAAACTAATTTTTAAAAACTTTATCCAAAAAACTAGGGAAATCTTCTGCCCTGTGATTTGGCCCATCCCCTATGTCCCTCACTGCACCTACATATTATAGATGCTTAGTTTCCAAAAGTTGTTTACAGCTGCTTTAGCAGAATGATCCAGTTCATTCTGCAGTCAAAAGCTTGATCATTGTTAAAAATATTTATATTTTAAAAGTTCCAGAAGTTCAGCATGAGATGAACTATTTTTTTTCAACCACAGAAAATATGTAATACTGAATTTCACAAGAATTCTTAAAATTAGCTTCTGGGAATCCACTCCTACACCACTTACCACCTGAATATTCACCAATGGCCATGTACAGGCAATCTTATTTTGGCTAGAAGCTACACTTTAAAAAAAAACTTTTTTAGCATACAAAGGACACAGTACTAACATGATTACATTGCTGGAGGTGGATGATTTTTCAGCTTTTTTGCCTTTGTTTTTATAGGGAATTGAGCTGTTATTTTTAAGTTAATAGTTATATTAGGTGTATTAGCAACTGCTTTCCCATTTCTACAATAGTACTGTATAATAGCAGGTATACAAAAACAAGACCTGTATCATGATTACAAGTTAATTTAATTAACCATGGTTGTGATACTTATCAAATTTATATTCCACCAAAATTGTAAATAGACTCCACTAACAAGAAAGCAATAATATAAATATCCATGATAAAAACATACTGCATACAACTTACCACAGTATCTCGCATCAATTGTGCAAATAAGGTTTGAATATTGTACAATAAGGGAATTTGTGTCCCTCCAGGTGCTGCGGAACTACCCTTTGAACTTTTGCAATCAGCATAGTCAGGTATGGTGGAGGTAGCCAGTGATATCCATATTGCTATTTTATCATTCTGCATCATGGTCCATTGTAATCCTGTATTCAAAGACATCACCTCTTACAAAGATCAGAGTTTTAAAATATATTTTTCATTGAAACATTTTACTGATAAGTTACAACAAACGAACAGTGAATATGCAATAGGTCATGGATTAACAGATTATTTTGGAACTGTGTTGTAGCCACACAAAACAAATATTGCTCAGATTAAGGTAAACACACATCCTGGGGTTTCCTTCGCATGGTGCATGATAAATAAAAAATCCTAAACCAAATCAAAAGGCAAGCTCTTGGCATAACTTCAAACTTTTTTCCTCTTGGTAGGAACACACAAACAACAAGAAGGTAAAACAGATAAAATCCCTAAGATGAGCCTCATATTCTTCCGGGCCTTTGAAAAAAAACAAAAAACTTCCCAATCTAACTTTTTTTTTTTTAATCTGCACTCAGTCGTTACCGACTCTGCAGTAACTGCTTTTTTGGACGAGTGCTTTGCAGTTTTCAAGGCAAGGTGTTTCGGAAGTGGTTTGCAGTGCCTCCTTCCTAGAGCAGAGCCCAGCTGACGAGCGCAGGAGGCGGGGTTTCCGTTGCTTGTTGGTGGTCTCCCATTCAAATACTAATGAGACTCGACCCTGCTTAGTTTTTCCAAAGCAGCCAATGAACGCTAGACAAATGGGCTTATGGGGAGCGTGCGATGGACTCCCATATAATCACTGACACTACAAGGACAACTGGGAAAAAAAATTAAACGCTTCTCAGGGGCGCGCTTTCAAAGGTCGACTTCGGGGGAAGCGCGACTTTCTCAACTTTCCGTTTTGCTTCCGGGACACCGTTGCCCCGCCCCCGTTTCCCCGCGAGGATTGCCCGGCGGGGAGTGGGCGGGGCTTGCTCTGCTCCGCTTCCCCAGTCATGGCGGCGGCCCCTGCTGCTGCTGCTGTTGCTGCGGGGAGGGAGAGGGCAGAGGGGGGAGGGGAGGGGCCCTCCCCCCCGCTGCCGCCACCCCCCCGCGGCCAGAAAGCAGGTGAGTGAGAGAGCCGAGTAGTAGGCAAGGCGGCTGTTCGGCCGGCCGAGAGGGAGAGGGGAGACACCCGAGCCGCCGGGAGGGCGGGGGGGGGAGGGGACGCCCCCCCCCCCCCGCTGCCGCCACCCCCCCGCGGCCAGAAAGCAGGTGAGTGAGAGAGCCGAGTAGTAGGCAAGGCGGCTGTTCGGCCGGCCGAGAGGGAGAGGGGAGACACCCGAGCCGCCGGGAGGGCGGGGGAGCGCAAGAGGAAGTGACGCCCAGGAAGCAGGCGACGGCCTCAGCTGGGGGAGACGGCGGGTGTAGGCTGAAGGGTCGAGGACGAGGGTGGTGGAGCTGCTGGGCCCTCGGAGAAGCGAACGGGGGTGCAAGAGCTTTGAGCCACGAGCCTTATGGGGGTGCGAGCAACGGGGCTGAGGAGGGAGCCTACTTAGGAGAGCGCGGTGACTTCCTCTGGAGAAGGAGAGGAGCGGGTCCCGCTCGCCGGTAGCTGCTGCTCCGACTTTCCGTTCCTCGCCCATATTTCCCACTCAGATACAGGGGCTTCTGGAGGCGAACCTGGACCCATAAAGGCCTGCAGCGCCCTGGGGTCGGGGCAGACGACACATCCGTTAATCATAGAGGCGAAAAGGTCGCCATTCCTATTTCAAATGAAAAGCAGCCCATTGCGAGGAAAGGTAATCAAAGAATAAATAACAATCCAGCCTTCTTTTCTTCATCCTACAACAAAGTTGGAAGTAGCACGAGATAAGGATCCTGCTTTGTCTTCTTTCCACATTTTTGCATCCTATCTCTTTGCTACCCTCCCCATACTGATGGAGAAGGAAAGGAGGAACACAAATGAGTGAGACTTAGGTCACAGAGTGGTACTCTGGCCACTCCTCAGCGGCAGGATTAGGGAATTTGGCCCTTCAGATATTGCTTAACTTCAACTCTGTAGCATTGACCTGTTGGAAGTTGTAGCCCCGTAACATCTGGAAGAGACAGGCACTCCATCCTTCCTTTATGCTTCATTGCCCAGGAGGGCAGCAGGTAGTTCAGAAAGTTCCTCTGCTTCATCTTCTCTGCTCTGATAGCCTTGGAAAGTTAGGAAAAAAAGCAGTAGAAGCTACTGCCCCCTTTTTATGCTTCCCGTTCTTTATTTCTCTTTCTTGACAGGAGGAAGGAGGGGTTGCTACTTCCCATTTGCTGTTTTATTGCCTTTCATCTCCAATGGGCTGCTTGTTACTCTTCCTTGGAGGAAAAATGTTTAATTATTTTGCCCAAGTACATCCACAGCATCCTGGCATAATTTAACCCTTGGTCTTATATATTGTAGGATGGTCATTGGCAACCTAGAATGTATTGGAATTGCATAAAGTAAATATACATTCCACATTGTGAGGAACACTCAAAATGACTTGCATCCAAACCACAATAAAATAAAATAAAGCTGTCATAAGTCTGAAAATAAGCATTCATCACTATGGAGTAGAATGGAATTGAAAGGTTGTGTGAAGGAGTCTTGACAGCCCAATTAACAAAGTAGCTTTTTTTTTTTAGTGAGAACTAACCTTGGAGGCCATTATACACTGGGTTCCTTTGTAGATCTAGAAATTGCTCATTTTTTACCTCATGGTGAAAATCGGAGTACATTGCAAAAAAAAAAAACTGATTGTCCTAGCATCCATTCACAGAAACCAGGCTTGGAACCTCCTAGGAATGTGTGGTGAGAGATTTCTTCCTTATAAATCCTCCTAAGCTGTTAGAATTTCAAAGGAGATATCTAATAACAGTGAGTGGAATTTTAAATCTCAGTAAATGTACACAAACCCTGCAGACAGCTGAAGAACATAATAAAATCTAAGCTTTTTGCCATCTAAAGCTGCTCTTTGTTGTTTCATCTAATCCAATGATCCATACAGTAGCTATCAGCAGCAGCTCCCCAAAGTATTTCCTAGCCTTGTGTGCCAAACTCATTTTAACTGGAAGTACCATAGACTGGTATAGATGGGAATATGTATGTATGCTTATTCCAATGAACTGTGCCCTATCTTGACAGGTGATCTGTAGCATTACATTGGTCTTAGAAGATGAAGAATTATAAGCCCAAAATTGAAAATCTTTACACCACTTCAATAGATTTTAAGCCAGAATTGAACCTCTCACTATGAGAGGATGACATTTAAAATCTGACTTAGATTGTTTAAAGCTTGTAAATTGGCATGCATTTTTATTCACACCATAACAATATTCACAATGACACTTAACATGGTTTTCCTGAAATAGTATTAAAAACAATGAAATTAGAGGCAAGGTTATGCATTATTGTTACCATAATAAAGTTTATATTTATCCATCTCTTCTTTCTTAAGCTGAACTCCTTATTCCTAAAGTGGAGCAAGTTGATAATCTAGGCTACACTCTTAGATATTTATCTGGGAGTAGGTTTCTTTGCATTCTGTGGGTGTTTTGATTATGATTATTTGTTTTTAAACAGTTCTCATGAATTACTAATAAGATTGAGCACACCTCTGAAATGATTCATAAGTGCTTTGTACAGGGAATTTCTATTCATTAAAGTGGCCCATCTTTTTTCAGACTTCCATGTGAAATTGAAAATAGTCATATCTGTGTTAAGAGTCATTTTAACTTGAAGGAATCAACTCCTTAAAGTAGCTGCAACTTTTATTTTGGCTCATGCAGAAAGTTGAAAAAAGATTATTTAATGAAAAGGAGTGAAGTGCAGTGCTCATGTGAGGTTCAAAGCACTTCTTCTGAATAATCTTTAAAGTGTGCACTGTTTTAGAAACTAACTGCACAAAATAAGTGAGCAGTTTTAAATAAGCAGTTTAAATAACATTTAAATAAGCAGTTTAAATAACATTTGTGTTCATCTAGGTAGGTTTGTCTTTTTTTCCTTTAGAGCATATATGTATATATACATGCCAGATCATAAACTGGTTTTAGAATTTGTTTCAGTTTTGATAGTGGCTTTCTGCAGGAATTGCTGGCTACTATTCAGGAAACAAAAGTCTTAATATTTTCCTGGTAATTGGAAACTAGTTTTGAGCTTATGACCTTCTTATACAGAGAGGAGAAAGTCCTATACATTTGACTTTGGATTTGCCATCCTTACAGCAAATAATATGGACATATTTGAAAATATGAATCTAGAAATATTTATAAACATTCTTCTGTGTAGAACTATATAAAATCTTGTTAGTAGCTACTTTACACTTAGGCATAATTCTCCCAGCTTCCTCATTTTGAAGAACTAGAGTGGTGATAATTTCTAACATCTAAAAGCATCTTATGTTATAAAGAACTGTATTAATTTATGATATAAAAATACTGAAAAATATTATTTTAGTTCAGAAGAAAGTTATATTTGAGATAATAGTATGAGTGATAGTTCAGTTCACTTTATATTCTCTTATGCTTACATACGCTATCAGTATCTATAATTAAGTTAGATGTTAAGGAGAGAGCGTAGTGGGGCTAAGAAGACAAATTTGCCTTATATGCATAGTGAATTCATGGTAGAGGTAAGACATGAATTAGGATTTCCCAGCTTTGGAATAAGCAGCCTTTTGAATTTCAATTCTCATCAGCCCCAGCCAGCATTGGCAATGGCAAGAGATTATAGTAGTAATCCAAATTGTATGCATGGTGTTAAGCTTTCTACATCTTTCCTAGCTAATTGTTTGTAGTTACCAGAGTACAGAAATTGTTTATTTTTATTATGATACTAATAGTCTGTGTACGATCTGGCCCAAGTGGTAAGCACAAGAAAAATAAGCACCATATATTTGTGATCAGCTCCCATGTGGAACTTTATGTACTCTTAGATTGGGAGGCCCAACTATTTTAGTCTGCTAGCATTTGTGCTATGCTTGTGACTGTGTCACTGAATCAGAGAAAAAGAACCTTTTTTTCTGTCCAAAATCATTATAAATTGGAAGTGATAAAGGTTTGAAGACTTGCTTTAGGAAGCTTAAAAAATAGACAATACCTAATTTAGTGCACAATCACTTTGGAGAGGGTGTTGCATTAATCTGCTACAACCATAAAAATAGCAAAGTTTTCTGGCATTATAAAAACACTTTTTCTGGCACTATAAGCCATGTGGTACAGTATTTATGATGCACCAAGACAATTGCTTTCCCCAAGCCTTAACATTTATGAAAACCAAAACCAATATAATACAAAAGCAGTCTAAAAACCAAGACATAAATGTAAATTGCAAACCTGTATATCACATAGCTGATTTACTGAATGTGCAGTAGATTGCTTCATTGATCCTTTGTTTTGATTATAGTGAATAAAATAAAATGAATGAATGAATAAAATATCTTGAGCAGATTGATAATCTATCAATGCCCCCATATGATCTTTATTTAAACTCTCAAATATTGTTCTCTAAACTTCTGGTGATTGTGTGCCATCAAGTTGGTGGCAGCTCTCAGCAACCACACAGATAGATTTTCTCTGAGATGGTCTGTCCCCAATCTAGTCCTTCAGGTCTTCCAACAGTGCACCCATCATTGCTGTAGTTGAGATCATCCACCTTGCTGCTGGTTGTCCTCTTTCTCATTCCACCTTTCCCAGCATTATAGACTTCTCCAGAAAGTTAGGTCTTCACATATCATGTCCAAAATATCATAATTTGAGTCTAGTCATTTGTGCCTTGAGTGAGAACTCTGGATTTTTCTACAATCCATTTGTCGTCTTGTCTTCTAAAGTTTTACAAATTATATTTATTGAACACCTGGGTATAAGATTGAGTCTGAATTTGCTTAGATTGCTTCTTGTGCTATTGTTGCTTACCTATACCCTAATTGTTTGTAGCAATTACTCATTCACTACTACCTGTATTATTTAGTGTTTTGCAATATAATAAAATATTTCTTTTTAAGGTAGTTTCCCTTCCCCAGTTGCAGTTTCATTGAAACTTTTGCCAATCAACTTTTTTTCCCTTGCACTAACTGCTACAGAAATAGAATAGTTTTTATTGGGAGCAT